ATCCATAGCAACCCTGTGTAGGGGTTCCAAGGAACGTCTGGTATGCTTGAACCACCTGCTTTGTGGTTCAAACTGACTTTGCAGTCCAGCACATTAACCCATAAATAAATCATGGTTCTTTCATTCAAACACTTATTAAGCATCTACTACTGCTGAGTTCTGATGTAGCACCATGGATTAATGCACTGGACTGCAAATTCACTTTGAACCTCAAGGTCAGTGGTTCAAGCTCACCAGCTGCTCCCAGGAAATCCTATACAGCGTTGCTATGAGTAAGAACCTACTCGATGGCACTTAACAGCAACAACGTTCTTTGTGCTTGAGGAAACTCAGACTCGTGAAGGAGGAGATATCACAAGCAGAGAAGTTAAACGCTGTGATAAATTCAACGATATAGATAAGGATCCTGATTCTGTGACTAGAAAATTAAATGACTGGTCCACAGGAACGGAGCTGGTGAAAATTGTAGGAAAGTTTCCCGAAGGAGGCTAATCTAGAAAGGAATAAAGCCTTTAAAATGCTGTATAAAAGTAGGAAGAAGGCATCCATGAATTACTGCAGGTAAAGTATGGCAGAAAGGTTAGGCGCTTGGCTGCTAACTGAACACACCAGCAGCTTGGAGGGAGAGAAGACTTGGCAATCTGCTGCAGTAGAGATTCTCAACTCACTCACTGCCATCAAGTTAATTCTGACTTATTGCGATCCTATTCAGGATTTTTGAGACTATAAATCTTTATGGGAGCAGGCAGCCTTAGCTCTCTCCTGAAAAGTGGTTGATAGTTTTGACCCAGTAAGCTTGTGCTTAGCAGCCCAGCACTTACCTTGCAGCATGGGCCACCAACAGCACTATAGGATAATTCTCCTCTGTTCTATAGGGGTTACTATGACTAGGAGTCGAATTGGCTTATTGGCACCCAATAACATGGGGCAAGAAGCTCAAAGCAGCTCAGTGTTGCTCAAGCCTTCGGTGAAAGAACCACCCACTCTGCCATGGAGTTGGTTCTGACTCACATCGATCCTAAATAGGGTTTCTGAGG